AAAACCATCTTCAACATTTGAACCAAAAAACCATCTTCAACATTTGAACTAAAAAACCAAATCTGCAACATATTTAACACAGGACAAAACATATATATTCACGATATAAGATGTCCTCTCCCTCTCAAACCAGAAGCTCCTCTCCCTCTCAAACCAGAAGGACCTCTCCCTCTCAAACTAGAAGCACCTCTGTTGCAATAACACCTCTTCCCATAGCAGCAGCAGCACCTCTTTCCATAATAGCATCAGATCTAGATGAATTTTTTCCTCCTCTTTGCACAAGAGATGAATTTTTTCCTCCTCTTTGCACAAGTTATTTGTTCCTCTAATAAAACAAATGGTACGTGGTACGTAGTAAGTATTCACATAGTATAAAACATCATAGTAATTATTGAGATTGCAAAAGTGAATTTGACCTGAGATATGGCTAGTGGGGCTTACTCGCATGTTCTCTTATTATGGCCTAGTTGCTTGCATGTCACACACCTAACTGTGCAAGATCTTTTAGCTGTGCTTGGAGGAGCTTCTTCCTCTTGAAGTTTTCTCCTTTCTCCTTCCTCTTGGTCTGTCAGGCTTCCTTTTAACGGTTGGAGGCTTTAGGAATGGAAAGTCAGTTTGTGGTGGGATGTTGTAATTTGGAATTGGATGAATGACTCCTTTGTAGGCATTTACATACTTCTCTACTGTGAAATACTCGTGACAAAAGTCTTCAAGATTGAGTCTCATGTATCCAAGTGCAATGCAAGCATGTTTACATGGAAGACCTGAAATGTCCCAATAATTGCAGGTGCATGTCCTTTTTGCATGTCCTTTTCCCAATGTCAACAGCAAAAGCCACAGGCCCCTCTCTCATCTCAGACTCATTATTGTTGCTTGGTAGTATCTTGCATTGTCTAGATTCTTTTATCAATCTGTTCAATGTACTCTTGCATTTTGGAGTTACTCTCCCTTTCCAAGCAGAAGCCACTGCAAACCTTTTATGAAGCATAACCATGCATTTCTGCCTAATAGAGTCTATTAGCTCAACAATAGGTTTGTTCCTCAAGTTTCCAAGCCAGCTGTTGAGTTTGAAACTCTCTGTCATGTTATTTGTCACATTCAATGCTTTTTAGCTGCTGGATGAAAGGCATGTCTACGCCATGTGGAATAGGAATAATCAGTAACCATTTTGACAGCCCTTCCCTCATTCTTAGCCTCAACATCTTCATATTGCTGCTTAAATGCATAACTATGGCTAGACTTAGCTGCCATCCAAAATTCCTTCCTCAAACATCACCCCATAGAAAGCACTTCTTTGAAGTTCATTTAACAAATGTTTGGACAAACAATATCTGTGGATTAACCTTCAAACTGTGTTCCTTCACAGCCTCAAGCAATCCCTATGTTTAAAAAAGAATTCACATCATTAGCTAAATTTAGTTGAAAGTGAAATATGAAATAGTTTGGAGGAGTTACCTTTTGTCTGTCTGAAATTTGAATGTCCATGGCTTTTGAATCCAAATCCCGGTCCAATATGCATTTTTCTTAAGACAGTCAAGGAAGAAGGTCCCCATGTTGCAGTGCATTTTCATTTGACAGATTGCAAAAGTAGTTGGGAAGGAACCCCCTTTATTCCATCTAGTGTAACAGCAACTCAGTTAAAAACATCCTCCAAAAGGGCCCTTCAGGAAAGCATCAATCCATCCAATGAGAGGCCTACATCCCTTCCAAAAAATCCACTTTCATTTGCTTCAAACCATATAAAATGGAGCTAAAGACAAGTGGCTTCATTCCAAATTGTTCCTTGGGCATTTGATTTCAAATTTTGATTAAAAGTTCCAATAAAAGTTCCAAGGTTTGACATTTGAACTTGTGCAATGTATTCATGCAACTTATTGTAGCTCTCAACGTGTGAACCTGCAACTTGCTCTCTAGCAGTTGTCCTTGCCCTATGAAGCTGCCAATATTCAGTCTTAATGCCCCATTTTGCCTTTAACTCAGCTTGCATTAAAGCATAGCTCATTCCTGGATCAGCAGCCAATTGAGATTCCAGTTTCTTCTTCACCCACTTTGTTGTTGCATTGGGATTCTTGTTGTTTAATGGCATCGTGCATGTATGCTCAGGTTGTAAGTTTTTTACTACAAAACTCACTAAGTCTGGAGAGCCACACTAGCATGGAACCTAAATGTGTAGCCCTCCCCCATACATTTTGCTGTCACTCTTCTACTATCATTCTTGATCATCCTCAGTATGAACCCTCCCCTAACAGCATAATCCCTTAAAGCTTCCATACAACTATCAACACTTAAGAATGCATGCCCAACTCTGAATTCAATATCACCTTCAACTGGTGTTTCAAATATATTGTCATATATTTTCTTCCAAGGATGTTTTCTTTTTAGGTCTTCTCCTTCTTGGTGCATCAACCTCCATGTCACTACTTTCAGCTGACTGTTCCTTGTCAGTATCAACATCATTGGGACCATCATCAACATCATCATTGAAGTCAACTTCCTCTTCTCGATCTGTTTCCATTCCCTCAGGTGTTTCAGCTTCACTACTCTCATCTTCAGTATCAGAAAAGACATAGTCATCATCTGTTGACTGACTATCAACAACAGTTTCTGTTTCTCCCCCCTCCCACTCCAATGGTTGTTGTTGTTGTACTCTATCTCTAAAGCTGTAAGAGGCTCCAACTTTGCTCTTTTCCCCTTCCTATTGTCCCTATTCACATTAGCCTCATGAACATTTGCCCTGCCTCTACATCGCCCTCTCCCCCTCCCTTTTCCCCTGCCTAACTGGTTTACATAGCCTGAATACTCAGTGTTGTCAGCCAGCACAATATCCCACATCAGTGATCCTATCAACATTTCTGCCCCCTTCCCCTTACCACTACCTGTACCCTCTGTATTTCCAATCCCAGCACCTACATTTTCTTGCTCAATAATGATTTTCTTGCTCAATAATGGTCACATCTCAAACATCCCCACTTATCTCAGTTTGTGACCCAATATTACTTTCTGCCTCCCCAACACCATTGCATGGAACTTCCCTATTAGGCTGCAAATTTTCATTATGTAAACTCATAATATCTGCCACCTGACTGTAGAACACATTGGGCATAACAACACTTGGTTCACCTTGCCTTCTAACCAAATTCAGTTCAATATAATCAGTGTCCTTGAATCTTTCAAACATTAGAGTAACGTCTGCATCATTCTCTATTCTATAATTTTCAGAGCATGTAATATCCACTTTCCCATCTTTTATCTTGTGAACTTTGCATATACGTTTTGTAAGAGGACAATGTAACTCATTCTGTCAGGTTGTGCATCATACAAATACAGTGTATCCCCTTCATATATGACCCCAATGGTGGAACTTTCAGGCAAAGCCATCAAGTTCAAGTTTTCCTACATTGTAATTTAACACAGGTGTTACAAAAAACCCTCAATACATTATGATTAAGCATTATCATTACACACAAAACGTCTGCAAAAACCCTCAATACGTTATCATTACACACAAAACAACTCATAACGATGCTTAAGCATTTCAATATACCAAAAATCATCATCATAAACATCCTCAATAATATTGATTTTCAATTTTTTCAATTTTTTTTCAAACAAAAAATGAAGTGGGTCTGAGTATATGGTATTTACTTGAAAACAAAGCTTGAAGACTGTGATTCCACGCAAACGAAGCACTACAAGCTACAACCACTCAATTCGTTTCGTCAATAAACATTATTTTCTAGCATGGATTCTTCAACACTTCCACTGGAGATGAAGACGTTTTTGCGTGAGAGAGTTCGGTCTCTAGGACAGTTTGACCTACAGTTTCCCTCGCTTGGAAGGTCCATACTTGGGTCTACGTCAGCTAGGGAGGGTGTTAGTCTTTCAGTTCTTTTATTAACGGTAAAAACAACTTTTCGGACGGAAGACCTTTTTAAATAGGACGGAGTTTAAACCTGAGGGATTGCTTAGATATTTGCGCAAAAATTGAGATTAGTTGGTTAATTTATGTAAAAACCTGAAGGGACTAAATATAATTTTCCCTTATAAAATATTATAGACACTATATAATTAAGTATTGGGGAATTGAATTTTTTTAAAATTTTCTATTTTTATTCTGGTACAATTGATAATATTGATATTTTAACCCACCTAGTCATTTATTTAAATCGTTTTTACTTTGCCTAAATCATATTTGCCCTTTTTCATATATCCTACTGATCTTTTGTCTATTTAAATCCAAAAGCACATACTACGCTAAAAATTTCTCCTGATCCTTGGGCTCCTCCCTGGCTTCCCTCTTAGGGAAAATTCCTGCTCTCTCACTGTTCGTTCTAGCTATATTTAGGCATAGTGAAAATGTTCAGTATGGAAGTTTGCTTCTCTGGAATCGTGGAAAGATGCAAGGTGTATTCCGTATTTCCTAAGTAGCATTATTGTCCGATTATAGTACTCCTTGCCCACTCTTGTCAGCGCATATTAATTCATATTATTTTACCCTCGCATATTGTAGTGTTTTAGATGATAAACTATTAGATTTTTAATAAAGACATTTAATAATCTTCCTTTTACATTTGGCCTAAGTGATTGTATTATAGAAATGTAATCCTGGCACCTTGCCTCTCCCCTAATTAGACGGAGTTAAACCTGAGGGATTAGCTAGATATTTGCGCAAAACTTGAGATTAGTTGGTTAATTATGTAAAACCTGAGGGACTAAATAATAATTTTCCCTTATAAATATTATAGACACTATATAATTAAGTATTGGGGAATTGAATTTTTTTAAAATTTTCTATTTTATTCTTACAATTGTTATTGATATTTTAACACTAAATTTAAAAGTATGAATCTATTTGCCCTTTCATATTAAATTTTTGTATTTTAAAACTACACTAAAATTTTCTTCCCTGCTCCTCCCCTGGTTCCCTTTAGAAATCCTGCTCTCTCCTGTTGTCGCTTTTTGGCTATGAAATGCATATGGAAGTTGCTTGGAGGGAAAATGCAAGTTTCGTTTCTTGCATAGGTGAAGATATGCTTGCGCGCATATTAGCATAACCCAATTTTTAAATGTACATTATTAAATAAAAAAATTTTAAATTTCTAATATTTAACAATAATTACCTCACCTTCCTCTCCCCATCTTTCTGTGACAGCATAGAAGACAACACCGCCACCACCACGCCAACAGCTCTCCTCCACCACCGCCAACGGCATCGTTATACGCAGCAGATTCACGAGATCTGCTCTCTAAGTCCCACTATTTCCCGCATAGTTAGCATTCAAACTTTCTCTTTGTAAGTAACTTCCCAATTCTCTTATTTTTTCAACTAAAACCCTCTCCCTTTGACTTCATATTATTTCGATCATTCCCTACACTATCTTCTTCTTCTTCTTCCTCTTCTGCTTTTCCTTCTTCTCCTTCCTCTTTGATAATTTACCTAGGAGCAAACAAAGGATTGCATTATGTGGTTTACCTGTACAGATAATTAGGGTTTCTGGAGAATGAGCGAATTTAATGGGTTGATTTGTCATCATTTGAATTCAATCACTGAGAAGGCTGGAGACTGGAAACTGGCTTTGGTTCCAGAATCAAGGTTTTAGGGAATTTAGGGTTTAATATTCTAGAGCAGGATTCTGCTTTCTCTGCTTAATCGATTTCGATTTTCGTGTGTTTGGATCACAAGGCAATCAGAGTTTGGTCAATCTGATTCTGAGATGCAAAGTCGTTTATGATGATAGAATGACAATGGTGCGGCTTCTGGGACTGAGTCGTGGAGAATCTGACGAGTCACCCAGGGAGATCACCTCGCGAAGTAATCTGATCAGTGAGTCCGGAGAGAGTGGGTGGCTAATCAGGTTCTTTGACTCGGCCTTTTTCTGTGAGTGGATCGCAGTGAGCTACCTATACAAGCATGATCACGCTGGGGTACGTGACTATCTATGTAATAGAATGTATACCTTGCCCTTATCAGGTATTGAGAGTTATTTGTTCCAAATTTGTTACATGTTAATCCACAAGCCAAGCCCATCTTTGGATAAGTTTGTTATTGATATGTGCTCAAAGTCTCTGCTGATAGCTTTGAAGGTGCATTGGTTTTTGTTGGCGGAACTTGAGGATTCTGATGATAATGAAGGTATTAGTAGGATTCAGGAGAAGTGTCAAATTGCAGCTACTTTGATGGGAGAGTGGCACCCACTTGTGCGACCACCTAATGAGTCTTCCAGCCCTGGGGGTAAGAACCAGGTTTTGAATAAAATCCTGTCATCAAAACAGAAGTTTTTGTCACTGACATCTTCACCGCCTGTGAGCAAGTCTTTATCATTTTCACCCTCATCAGGAAATAATTTAGTGGAGGATGGAAATCTGATGTCACCAGATGAGAACAAGCTTTTTAAGAAGTTTATTCCAGGTCCAAAGGTCAGAGATGCATTGCTGTTTAGGAAGTCAGTGGAGAAAGATGAGGAAGAAAGTGAAAAAGACGGGTTTTTCAAGAGGCTTTTGCGGGACAGCAGCAGAGGTGAGGAGGAGTCAACTTCGAATTCAGATGGCTTCTTCAAGAGGCTTTTGAGGGATAACAGTAGAGGAGAGGATGAGGAGTTGACATCTAGCTCAGATGGTTTTTTCAAGAGACTTCTGAGGGATAGTAGTAAAGCTGAGGATGAGGAGTTGACGTCAAGCTCAGAAGGGTTTTTCAAGAGGTTGTTTCGAGATAACAAGAGTGATGGTGATGATAAGTTAGTTTCTAAATCACTAGAAGATGATGAAAAAGAGGGGTTCCTTAGAAAATTCTTTAAGGAGAAGGTTGAGGACAAGAAGGATGGAAATGATAGGAATGAGCATGAAGAAAGGGTGAATTCTGAAGAAAAATGTTCCAAATCTGCAGAGGATGATGAAAAAGAGGGTTTCTTCCGGAAATTATTTAAAGATAAGTTTGAAGACAAGAAAGATGGAAATGATAAAATGGATGAGGGTAATGTGAATGGTGATGAAGAAGAACCTTCTGAATTTTCATTGTTTCGGAAATTGTTTCGGGTGCATCCTGAGGATGCCAAAACTACTGCAGTGACTGAGAATAGCAATAGCAGTGGCTTGTTTGATAGCAGCCCAGGAACTGAAAATTTTTTCCGCAAACTGTTTAGAGATCGTGATCGTTCACTTGAAGACTCAGAGTTATTTGGTTCAAAGAAGAATAAAGAGGTGTGTTGATGATCACTGTTTGGTTCATTATGCTATATATATATGTCTGGCTTATTTATTATTTTGAAGTGATGGAGGTTTTGCTTGATAACCATTTTTTGATCCATAAAGTTGTGAAATTGTGATATAAGAATTTGAGAAAATTTTTTGACATGTGTTGACCTCATATTAGCGTTTGTTTGCATAGTGAAATTGTTTTGTTATTTGTTCAATTGGGTTGTAATGAAGATAAATAGTCATTGATGTTGGACAGCGCATCTTAGTTCATGAGATATGTTTGTGGAAATGCAATGGAGAGTAGGTCTTATCCACAAAAGTAATTATTCTGATATTTATTACAATTGATGGTGAATTACTAAAAGTTGATGCTGTACCAAATACTAAGGTATTTTGTAGATTGCTTATGGTTGGTAGTCTAATTTAAGCTGATGACCTCATATTATGGGAAGGTTTAGGGGGAATGTGAGGTACAAATCTCCATGGGGGTGAATTTGAAGGTTAAGCATCCATAAATTATTTCCTTTTTCAGAAAAGCAACATTGGGTAAAATATGACAGTAAATAGCATGGTGATGATATTAGATCACTGTGGAATGGTTTTTAATATGCAAAGAATAGAAGGAAGACAGTTGAGTAACGTCTTCTTTTATGGCAATATAGTGTGGGCACTGTGATTGCTAATGGCATCTCTTTTGTGCCGACGGTCCTTGATTCTCTTTTTGTTGTTATTGGTGTGGAACCTCAAAAATTCAAGCCTACTGCCACTATGGCTAGTATGGTGCCATTATATAGAGAGAGTAAAGCAAGTTAGATTCTTTGGTTAGATGCAGTCATTTACTTGGGACTGTTGCTCTCTTACCTTCCTCTACCAAACAAGGTTAACACCTTTCTTTCTGTTTTTTCCCCCAAATTCTCGTTGGTGTCATCTAGGTTTTTATTGCATCATCCATACATAGACTAGTGTGCTTGAACTCCAAAAACTACTGGTTTAAGCTAATTGCAAAATTTTCTTTTGAATGTATTGATTTTAATTACCAGAAGAAGTTCTAGAATGCATTGTTTATTCGCTGTAGAGAAAGTAATGTGAAGATTTAGCAGGTATAGAAGTAGTAACAGAATTAGCACCAATATGATTGCAACTGTAATTGTCAAAGGCATGCCTCAAGCTCAAGGCTCAACAGGCACTAGGTCTAGTGCCTCTACTATGGTCAAGCTGGCGAACTAACTGAGATGCATGCCTTATTGCTTAGGCATGTGCTTTTTTTTTTCTTTTTTTTTTTTTTTTGAGGTTCATGCCTTAATTGCTTAGGCATGTGCTTTTTTTTTTCTTTTTTTTTTTTTGCTTTTTTTTTTCTTTTTTTTTTTTTTTTAAGGTTCAAGATGCAACAAAAGCATCTCTCGTATATTTTGATTATCGCCATTTACTCTTTCCATTTAATTGATGTTATTAGATATATATATTATTGATTATCGATATAAGTTGGGTATTAGAGTAGAGTTTACACATTCCCCTCTGACCAGCAAATTCTACAATACTGTAGTGCACATGAGAATAATCTAGTTGCCTCTTATATTCATAGGATCTACCAGTGAATTTAGATTGTCGGTCACATATGAATGCAAAATGTCACATATGTATGCGACAGAATTCTGCACCATTTCCATGTGCAGTGTTGCTCAAATAATTCCCCCTTCTTACCAGAATTTCTCTTCCTTTATGTGTTCCAGTTAAGGCCACATTTTTTTTTTTTCTTTCCTTTTTTCTAACCCTCTCTTTGTTTAAGATTCCAGTATCTTCTTCCTCAATTTTTTTCTTCAGCCCTTAACTTGGTACCTAATCTAGAATGGTGGATTCTAGTAATGCTAGCATTAATAATTCCATGAGAGATCCGATATAGAGCACATGCTTGTTAGATCCAAAGGAAGGGATTATGGATTGTGCATCAGTTGTCTTATACTTTGTATGTGATCTTGCTTGATAAATATTTTTGAGTAGTAAAAAGTGTATTAAAGAAACCTGTATGCAAATATGTGATTACAGAGAGTGAAAAATCAGTGTTGGTCCAATTTCCATTTAATTACATGTTATCATGAACTTGTAAATAAATATACTTCATATGATTAAGAAAACCAGGTCTTTTTTGGCGGTGAGCATTTGGACAGCCATTTTAAAATAGCACATGAGTAGAACACACAGCAGCAGTTTTCAATTCGATGGAAAATTCTTCGGAATTTTACTCATGAAGTAGTCATTTCTTTGAAAGTAAATTAAATAACACATGTTGAGCATGGTACATGTCTTGAACTTGTAAATAAGTATACTTCATATGATTAAGAAAAAAACCAGGTATTTTTTGGCAGTGAGCATTTGGACAGCCATTTTAAAATAGCACAACAGTAGAACACACAGCAGCAGTTTTCAATTCGATGGAAAATTCTTTGGAATTTTACTCATGAAGTAGTCATTTCTTTGAAAGTGAATTAAATAACACATGTTGAGCATGGTATGTATATGGGAGAAATGGTTTTTTATTTGGTGAAATTTCTCTTTCATGAAGAACAAACTAGTGGGGTAAAGAAGTTCTCTAGCATGCTACAATAGATATCTTGTATTTGCGTTTGTTGGAAATTCCTTTTAATTAGAGGCATTTAGCTGTGTGGTTTCATAATTCCCTAATCTACTTTTCCTGTGCTCTTAATATGACAGAAGCATCCAGGTTCACCAAAACAACATAATGAAAAGTCAAACATGAAGCCTCCACTTCCTAACAACACAGCATCTCACTTCCGGAAGGGGGCTTATCATGAGTCGCTAGACTTTGTGATGTCGCTTTGTGAGACTTCTTATGGCTTAGTGGATATATTTCCGGTTGAAGATCGCAAAAGTGCTCTTTGTGAGGTTATTCAATGTTTTCTTATGCTTTCTCCTTTTCTGTCCTACTATTTTGTTGCTAGCTACTGGTTTCCCACATGCATATTTATGTTAGTTAGCTCTCACAAGCTTGTGCACACACCTTATCTGTATATGAAAAATGTATACATCTATAATATCTATAATATATATATATAAAAGTGAGAATGGGGAGGGGGAGCATTAGTGTTTGCAAAAATATCCCTACTAAATCTATGGATTGACAAAAGTATATTGAAGGCTTTTAATGTCATTGGTTGAAAAAATAAAGGTAACTTAATTTGATTGGTTATATTGGTTTCCTATTTAAATCTAAATTCTATTGGCTAATAAATAAAAGGAAAAATAGAATTTTGTACCTATATTATCCCAAAATTAATAACTCTATCCCTCCCTTTTTTAAAATACATTACTTTGTCCTTATGTTTTTTACTATTATACATTATTGTCCTTTCGTCAAAAAAATACAACTTTTTCCGTTAAGTGAACTGTGAGAAGACACAAGTACCCTTAAATCCCTCTTAGATTTGCATTTTCTGCCAAACTTAAATAAATTCAAAATAAAAATAAAAGAAAGCAAAGATTGCATAAAGCAAACCAAATAGTAGAGCCAAACATGGCATCAATCACCAATCCTTCAGGTGGAGGACCAGTAAGGCTAAGAGGAGGAACTATGGGTGCCAAGAATATGGTTGGAGGTGGTGTTGGGGTACGAAATGGTGCCACTGTTAATGCAATGGACTTGCAGAGTGGCTCCTCATGTGAACCCAACCTTCTTTGGCCATGAAATGGCATGGGAATGATGGGTCTCTCCGATGGATGGGCCAAATGTTGGAATGTGGTCTGTTTACAAGCATGCGTGGTGAGGAGAAGATATGGAGAGATAACAAACATGAAGGTTTAACACAAGTAATTTTATATTAGATGTTGATAAATGTAAAGAATATATAAATTAAATACAAGTTAAATGATATACATTGATTATTTGATATTATATATATTATACACATTAATAAACGTGATATAAAATTAAATTATAGTTCAACAATATTAGATCAAATATATATTTATGAATTCTAATTGGGCAGTTTTGTCTTATCTTAATTAGAAATTTAAAATTTTGTGCACTCTTATTTAGAAATTAGAATCGTATTATGGAAGCTTTGTCATATTATAACAATATAACTATCATTTATACCAATATTAACTAATATATATATATATATATATATATTATATATATATTTGTTATATATTGTTTACATTATAAAGTTACTTGTTTTGTCAAATAAATTTTGTTTTCTTTGACTGTCAAGAATTTGTTTGATTTCACTATAAACAATTTTTGGGTTCGATATAAAAGATTTGTTGAAAACTTTTTGCCTTAGTATGATAATCAATTTTTTATTTTATAATTTAAAATATGTTTATGTTTATATATTTATGTTGATGACTAATATTTATATCAAATATTAATTTTTTTTAAAAAAATATATCTTAATATTAAAATTTAAAAAACACAAATATTACTAAGAATTAATAGTAAAACTCAATATGGAATAATCATATTTAAATTTAAATTTATTATTAAAAATATTAAATCACAAGTATCAACAATGAGTATAAATAATGTACAAAGCACGTCCTTAAAAACTATTAACTATAAATATAGTTATCACATATCTATACATAATGTTCAATATATATTTTATCTAACACATTTTGCTTTTGAAATTTCTTGTATTCTCAGTCACTTGAGGAGATGAATTTACATTTAGCTGAAGCTCAGAGTAGTGGAGGTACTTACTATATTTATATTAGATTTTACTTCAAGTATGATACCTTTGAAAGTCAATACTTGTGCATTGATTCTGTCATGTAGCTGTTTAAGAGCATCCTTCCATTGTCTAGTAGTGGTTTCAAAGAAGGAAAATATGATGTTGATTCAGGTTTGAACTAAAAGATTTAGGGTCAGCCTCTCCAAAAATAGTTGAAATGTAGTTTTAAAAGCTTTTTTCAGCATCTAAAAATGTTCTTTTTTTTAAAAAAAAAAAAAAAAAAAAAAAAAACAATTTTTTAAATTGCAATGCAAGTAGATTGTGGTTTCTGTTTGGAATAGATTTTTTTTTAAAAAAAAAAAAAAAAAAAGAAAAGCAATTTTAAATTGCAATGCCAAGTAGATGTGGTTTCTGTTTGGAATAAGAACTTCCAAATTTGTATTTCAAAAAATGGTGGGGAGTTTTTTAAAGCATGTTTCATATGTTATTTATTTTCTTTTTAAGAAAACCTTTCAATATATTATGTTTTTCAAAGATTTTGAGACTGAATATGTGCAATCAATGTAACTGTATGTTTTTTATATTTACAGTGGTCATTTCAAAGCTTTCTAAAAGATAACTTTCCAGCAAAAGGTGCAGCATGCCATTTTCTAAAAAGTAATCATTCATTGTTAAGATGATATTTAGTGTCGGGGTCTGTATGATGTCTATAATTTTTTCTTTAATTATTTTATTTGAAAAATGCGTCATTTATCATTTTTCTTGATTTCCCATTGATTCCAAGTTCTTTTATGGTCTCTTTTTTCTCAAATAAAATCTTGGCAGAGGCATAATTTACATGTACTGACATTGGTTTTTAACTCAAAAAAATAAAAAAAAGAAAAAGAAAAGGGGAAAGAAAAACTCTTTATGTTTAAAATGCTCAATGTCTTTTTCTCATTTTTTTTTTTTTTTCCTGATCCAATGATGCCGATTTACAATGTCCCAAGTATTACTGATAGATTAATCAGCCCATCTGTAAGCAATTTTAGATATAAAAATTTAGTATCAAGAAGCATTCTGCTACTGATTAACAATGTGAGATACTGGATATGATTGTATGTAGTCAAAATTGCAAATATAGTTATAAGCATTCTGCTATTTTTTTTTTTTTTTCATTTGTTTCTAGTTTCCATCCACTTATTTGAATATCTGTTTACACTGTTAGGAGTTTGCTTTCCAATGGGAAAGGGGGTTTATCGTGTAGTTCATATACCTGAAGATGAAGCTGTTCTTTTGAATTCTAGGGAAAAGGCTCCATATCTGATTTGTGTTGAAGTTTTGAAATGTGAATTGCCAAGGTAATTATGGAGTTACATCTCTGGTACTACTAGCACAGATCTCATTTTGTAACACAATTTCCCCCCGCAAGTAATCCAACTAGTGTGTATATCTGTTTTGTATCTTTCTAAGTTCTTTTTCTTTTTGAAAACCTTTTCAGCAATACGAAGGATGGTTTTGGTGCACAAAAGCTTTCCAGAGGAGGAATTCCTCTAGCAAATGGAGATGCATTTTTGCCAAAGCCACCTCCATGGGCCTATCCTTTGTGGACCGCCCAGGAAGTATATAGGAATAGCAGTGATAGAATGTCAAGGTCTACAGCTCAAGCAATTGACCAGGCAATGTCCCATAGTTTGGAGGCGAAATTGAAATTTGTTAGTGTGAGCCTTTATGTGGAGAAGCAATGGCCCCGACAGTCAGTGAACAATCAGTCACGTGATATTCGCCATGGCATTAATCGCAATGGTCTGCATCAAAGAACAGCTGACTGTGGTGATTTGGAATGGGTAAGGGTAGTGCTGACGGCAGATCCTGGAGTTCGCATGGAAGACATTGGGGATCAAGGACCACTTCGTCGCAGAGAGCATCGTCGTGTCCCTAGTACAATTGCCATTGAAGAAGTGAAGGTTGGCCTCTAAATTGAGTACTGTTAGTTATAGTTTTCCAATAGTGTTTGTAAACTTTTAGCTACCTTCTGCAGGCCGCTGCAGCCAAGGGAGAAGCCCCTCCTGGACTTCCTTTAAAAGGAGCTGGTCAAGATTCCTCAGATGCACAGCCTAGGGTAAGCATTCACGAACGCAGAAAATCAAGTTTCCATGTTTTTAAAGAAGAATGCTGGAACTTGAAAACTTTTAATTTTTAATAGGTTAATGGTAGCATCCCTAAGGCCAGCGATGCTCTATCTGGTGAACTTTGGGAGTTGAAGAAAGAGAGGATTCGTAAAGCTTCAGTATATGGAAAATTACCTGGTTGGGACCTGCGCTCTGTAAGTTCTGCATATTAGACTACTTGAGGGAAAAAGAAAATAGTGATCAGAATTTCTGAATGTTAATTGATGTTTTTTTCTTGAAAAGTTTATTTTGGTAATTAGAAGATTACCATAAAGAATGTTGTATTTTCTTAATGCTATAAGCTTATTAATGATTTGGTCAATAAATATATTAGATTCTTAATGTGGCTTGTGGTTATATACCTAGCATTCTTTTAGAGATTAGAACATTGAACAGAAACAAGCAATGGAAATTATAAACATTAAAAGATTGGAGCAACAGAAACAAGGAATTTGTATTGATTGGATACTGCAATTACATGTACTAAAGAAGAAACAGAATAACAGATAAAGAAGAAAGAAAATGGTTGCTAACAAACCCCAGGCCTGAGACATGCAGATACACCGCCCAAAATAACTGAATACTGTCAAGATATCCTTTGCTCTCCATTTGCTCCCTTATATAGCCTTCTCATAAGTCATAACTAACTTCTCTGATGTGTAACCTTTGCTTGATCCCCAATTTTCGTTCTGCTAAATCGCTGCCTTCAGTAATTTTATTCCTAGAATATACTAGGAAAGGTCTTGGGCCTTGATCAGCTCTATCACATTCTTGATGTCTCAGTGTGTGTGTTTTAATCTCTGGGCAACTCTGGAGTCTGCTTTATTATAAATATTTTCTGTAATAATTTTACATTGGCATCTGATTGTGATTTTATTTCTTAGTATTAGTGAATTCATTTTCTTGCTTGTTTCTTGTGCAGGTTATTGTGAAGAGTGGTGATGATTGTCGGCAGGAGCATCTTGCAGTTCAACTCATTTCTCATTTTTATGGTAGGTGCCAGTCCATGGCATCAGTGTTATGGCTAACTATTCCATAGATGTAGTTTGAAGGAAGTCACTGCTGTTTTGTTGCATCGCTTATCCTCATAATGATAAACTCTTAGATTAGATTATTCTCATGAGTTACGCTTTGTTGTCTTCTTCTTCTTTAACTGTATAGTTTAGCTTATATTAAATTGGTTTTGATGCCAGATATATTCCAAGAAGCTGGCCTCCCTCTCTGGTTACGTCCCTATGAAGTTTTGGTCACTTCATCTTATACAGCTCTTATTGAGACAATTCCTGATACTGTACGTGTAATAGTTCTCTTTGAGTAATCTGAAAATTCAATATTTTTGTTTATCTCAGTGATAATGGTTCCCTTTTTACAGGCTTCACTTCATTCTCTCAAGAGTAGATATCCCAACATCACAAGCTTGCGTGACTTTTTTGTTGCTAAGTATGAGGAGAACTCCCCAAGTTTTAAGCTTGCACAGGTAATGGACTGCTGTTCCACTGGTGTGAAAACATCACATATTACTAGTAATTACCAAAGCATGATGATCCCCATCTCTCCACAACTGTTTTGCTCATTGGGGATGTATTGGCCAATACATTTTTTTGTGGAGTGATTAGGATATTTGCTCTTGGAAATATTTTGTTATTCTCTGGTTTTCCATACATGAATAACTTTCTTCGTCATCTTTTTATTAAACATTCTTTTGATGTTGTTCTCATCACTGGACTTTGGAAGTGAAGGGAATTATGTTTAGTAGGTGAAAAATATGGAGACAAGGGAATATGATATGGTATATTTTCTTCTGTTTGCAACTAATTTACTTTTTTAGTGTACCTAGACGAATGTCTTACCAGAATCAAAATTACACCACCTTTGACCTTGGACACTACTATCAATAAAAGCCACCTTTTATATTATAATTTTTGGTGGATATTATTGATAAGTTTTCATCTTAAGAAATCATGAACATTAAAGCATTAGTCTGAAAACAAATGGTAAAACTCTGGGTGATTGAACATATATATCATGAACATTAAAGCATTAGTTCTGAAAAAAACTGGTTAAACTTCTGGGTGATGAACATATATATATATATATATATATATTATATATATATAGATATATATATATATATATATATATAGAGGCAAATATATATAGAGGCAAATTTTCAAGAAATTTAGCCTAAAAAATACAGAAAAGATGGGAATAAATTATTCTAATTGTGATTAAACTCTAGGTTAGTAATTATTTTTGTCACAAAATCTTAAGTTATTATGATTTAAAAATTAAACCCTAATTTTATTTCAAAAAAATTTCCAAATTGTTGGAAAAAAAAATCTTACGAATTTTAACGGAGTCTAATATAACATTTAAAATAATGTACATGCCAAAATTAAAATTGGTGAAACTTCAACTTTTCTTGCATATAAACATCAACAACATATTGAATCTCACTTCAAATTTGTAATTATAGGATTATGACTAAAACAAATAAAGTACCTAATCATGATATATATTAAGTAATTAAATTGAGATAATTAAGTTTTTATGTTCATAATAAAATTTACTGCGAATCTCTATTAGATTGATTTATTTGAGAAGGTGTTGCCAGATTTGATGCAAAAAGCGAAACAGTTAGCTGCAGTCAACATTGATGTTTATTCTTAGTGTATATATTATATATATATATATATATTTTTTTTTTTTTTTTTTTTTTTTGATTGCGTATAAATTTATTTTCTTATTTGAAGATATAAATTATTTTTAAAAAAATTTACAAAGAAATTCTGCAGCTTTTTTTGATTGCGTATAAATTATTTTCTTATGAAGATATAAATTATTTTAAAAAAATTACAAGAAATCTGCAGCATCATGCGACCAATCCTAATACTAAAGAAATAGCAGAAGCAATTTCATATTTAATTTATTTACTTACAAAAAAGAATTGAACTTGCAAGTTTGATACAAAATCAGCCGAATACATTTTGTAGAGTAAATTATCAGTGTGAATTATATTAACGTACTAGATGCTAAATATAAAAAACAATTGAACACATATTGTAAGATACAATAAGCTTAGCTTCTTTCTTAGTTTAAAAATATTATATATTTTACTTTTACACACGAATTTCTATGTATATTTGTATTTATTTTATACACAAGCCAGTTTGAGCAGGTTTTGGTTCATGTTCAGCCAATTGATTTCGTGCTGCATTTCTTTAGGAAAGTTCATCCAGCCTGTGCTAATATAACTCTGAGTCTGAATTATTTGGATTCAGTAAATTGAGGTTGTGACTAGCTTTGCCCAATTGCTAACCCTAGCAATATCGTGTTTGAAGGACAAGTTAAAAAGCACAGCCAAAAGCTTTTTAACTACAGAAATTTGTTTTGTTGTTTTTGTTTAAGGAAGTCATAATCTCTTCTACTATATATCCACAAAATGCATTATTAGATTCTGTTTGCCTTTTTATATATGCTGTTCATGGTTGGTTTCTTTTCTTATACATGAAATGATCAAATGAATGCTCTAGAGACAATATCACTTGGTTTATCTTTATCTACCTTTTAAATATTATATTATATTGGGGGAAGTGAATGATTTTTTCTTTTTGGTTTATGTTTTCCACGTGCGGATTTTGTTCACTCTGATTCCGACTGGATTGCTTTATTAATAAGATGATAATTGATTTATTTGTTTTATTGCAGAGGAACTTCGTGGAAAGTATGGCAGGATATTCTCTAGTGTGCTATCTGCTACAGGTGTGGTGCCTTTCCTCCCTCTCTCTCTCTCTCTCTCTCTCTCTCTCTCTCTCTCTATCCCCCTCTACCCTTCAGTTAATAAAGCTACTGCCTGATATTTAACAGCCTCAAATAATTAGTTGTCCAAATCAAGTAGAAAATTCATGTTAAATTTCCATGTAAATTTATCTGCAAACTTTGCATCTGTATTATGTCTTTTAACAGTTACTTTTCTCTCAAGCAGCAGCATATTTAACAGTTTGTTGCTCATAATCATATATTTGATAATGTTACCTACTGCTGAAATTATCACTTAATTCATTTTTATTGAAACTCTTCCTTGGAGCTCCAGAAAACTTGTATGAGCCAATAAGTATTCATTTCGGCTTCGGCTTTACAGTTTTGGGTTTTAAAAAATGAGATATTATGGCCTTCTATTTGATATCGCCAGCCAAGTGTAAAGGCTCATGAAAATTTTACAATTAATCTAATGTTTAGGTTAAGGATAGACACAACGGAAACTTGTTATTGGATGAAGAAGGTCACATCATACATATTGATTTTGGATTCATGCTCTCCAATTCACCTGGTGGTGTTAATTTTGAAAGTGCACCCTTCAAATTAACTCGGGAGCTTCTTGAGGTAATAGTTCAATGTACAACTTATTTTTCCCTTTGCCAGCCATCATTTGACAACCTCATTTAGAGCTTGTTTGGCATTGAGGTTGAAATCGCTTTTCTGAAAAAGCAGCATTTTGAATGCTGTTGCCAAAACCAGTTTTGGAGTGTTGTTTTAGCTGTTTTGAAGCTGTCATGACTAAGATATGTGAAATTTCAACTTAAAAACAAATTTCAAAGATCTTTAACCGACATTTTCAGCAAAGTGCTTTTTTCAATAGCAACTTAAAAACAATGCCAAATTAGTATACTGAGTTGATTTAGAATTTTGGATTTCTTGGTTCCAAGGTTAATTGCATTTTTTTGTTATTGTCTTAGGTCATGGATTCTGATGCTGAGGGAGTTCCAAGCGAGTTCTTTGACTATTTTAAAGTAGATAATTTCTTTTATTTTTATTTTATTAGTTAATCCTGTTTGGCTCCACTCTTTAGAGAACTATTCTTATGTCTTTTGCATTTCACATCCAGGTTCTATGCATTCAGGGCTTCTTAACTTGCCGTAAGCATGCAGAGCGTATTATTCTTCTTGTTGAGATGTTACAGGTACCACACATAACTATAACTTATCTTTTACTGCATACATATGTGTGTGTATGCTGTATGTGTGTGTATTCTACTCCTTCCATTTGTTATGGAGCCTTCTATGTCTCTGAGGTTCAACGTCATCAATTGATAAATATAATTGATGGAAACTTTGAATGCTGTACCTGAGATTTAAATTTCAAAAGAATGAATACGTGGATGAACAAAGGCTGTTTGGCTGGCACTAACCATGGTCTTCCTTAGGAATGGTACTAGCCCTATCTTAATCAGGTTTCTGATTGTTATGGATAGGTGGAAATTAGTTGTTTAAATGGGAAGTCTTGAGTTATTTATTTATTTATTTATTTATTTTAAATTAAATGAGGGTGGTACGTTATTTCAAATACTTAAGCAAAGATTGTTATAATTAGATAAAGTCTGTTAACAGTTGACGGGCCCTGACCCATCATTGGATATCATTAAAAAAAAAAAAATTCTGTTTCCTTTGTTCTTGAGAAAAAGCCAAAAATGCATTTTTCTTTTCTTGTTTTTTTTTTTTTTCTTGCTCAAGGAAACAAATTTTAATTAGTAAGTTTATAAAATAATTAAACAAGTAGTGGAAGGAAAAAGATTCATTTCCTTCCTTTGTTTGTTAAATCAGATCTCATTCTTTTTTGTTTTGGGCTTAATAAAAATGAGTTTCCTGAGCTTTAATCCCTTTTTCAATTGTATTAGGAACTTTGGAAACTTAAAAGTTCAGGTTCCATTTGGAAACACTCTTCAAGAATTCAAATTAATTCAATTAAATTCTAAAAGAATTAAGTTCTTATATAAACATTATTCCAGTTCATTTTATTTTTTTAATCGTCTTTATTTATTTTAAAAATAATGATAATGTCAAAACTTTGGGAGATTAGAGTATAAATTATAATGATATTTGTGTAATTTGACTATGAGTCCAATCTAATTAAATTGAGTTATTGTAAAACCAAACTTAAAATGATATGATTTCTGATACTTCAAAATCATTCTTTTTCGACAGATTATTTTATTTCCAAACATAAAAATTAACAAAATAGAATTATTTTGAATTAAATTGTTGCAAAACTTAGCTTTCCAATCTGGAGTTGGTATCAGAACTTAGCTTTGTCGTAGTTATATTTCTGACAGAGAAGTTCTTCAAATTGGAATCATTTAATTGCATAACGATTGTCCTTGTGACTTTTTTTAGTATAGTTGACTGAAAGCTCTACTTTGAACAGACTATCAATACAAATTTACATTTAAGAGGCTATCAATAAATATTTTTTTACTCAAACTAGAAGTTCATGTGGCTTTATTAGCTATTTTTAATACAAGGTAGCTGAGAATCAGTATTGAGCTAACTATCTGATGGTATATTTTATTCTATTTAGATGTTCATATGATGCTTATTTTTAATAAAGTAATAAATCAGCATTAAATAATGTAAATTTATGATAAACTTGATATGAAATTATAAATATTGTAGTTCTGATACTGAGTTAATGGTTTATGATAGAATTGAAAAGATTTCAAGATTCATGAACTTATTTTTTGAATTTTGCCTTTTTTTTAATTGTCTTCATGAAGTAACATAAAATAGCAAAATTGTAATAATTAATTAGGATTATAAGATGCACAATGGTTGCAGAGGATTTGGAGGATTATTAATGGTACTTTGTATACAATTTCTTGAATCAGGATTCAGGTTTCCCTTGTTTTAAAGGTGGTCCACGGACAATACAAAACCTAAGAAAACGATTCCATCTAAGTTTGACAGAAGAGGTATGATACAAGTTCTGTATTCATATTATTCTGATAAAGATTTTTTCACTGCAATGGTTGTTATGTTATTTGTTGCTTTCTTGCAGCAATGTGTCTCGTTGGTGCTTTCTCTTATCAGCAGCAGCCTTGATGCTTGGAGGACACGACAGTATGACTACTATCAGAGAGTTTTGAATGGGATATTGTGAGGATATACTGCATTCTTTGCTCCCTTTGACAATCGCCAGTTCAGCGCGTCATTTTTTATCAGAGTTGCATGTAAGTTGCAACTAAATCACTGTCATACAAGGGAAATTGGTTCACTGCATTGTGGCACAAGATTTTGTTGCAGATTTAACAAATTCTGATATCAGATTGTTGCCTGTGTTTCCTTGGTGCGAGGAGTTTGTAATTATACCAGCTGAAATATGTGTTTAGGAAGTCTAGCAGGCTAAATTGTTTTCAGGAGAGTCTTCTTTTTCTTTTCACTGTTTCCTCGTCATTTAATATGGAATTCTGCCGGCGTTTGGTGAATTTAGTTGCTCAAAAAGGAAGCATACTTTTATCCCCTCTTAAGAAAGCATGTACAGAGTATTCCTGTGATGATGATGGACAGTCGTGAAAAGGCGTCTGAGACCACAAATGCATAAGTAGAATTTTACACGGGGTGGCGGTCGACAGCAATACAAATACCAAGTATTCCTGATTTGTACATTAGCATTTCACCATTAGAAGCAGTATTCTTCAGACAAAAGCTTGGCAGACAATCAGATGGCTAGCCTGTTTCACTTCTGGCATCAACTGTTTAATGGCGAGTCTTCCCAGGTATATTTCTCTGACACGTCCTTACCAAAAAGTCGTCCTGGCAAAATTCCTGAAAGCTGTATATGAATATAGCAAGTGAGATCATATACCATCTTCTTTCGAGGGTAAAAATTGATTGAAATTCTAGTCATACAACATAGTGTTTGATGGGCGCAGGGTTCTGGTCCAATTTGTGTATTCGATAGAGAATTTGAGTCTGTAAACTATTTTACATGAGATGTTAGTGTTAGATGTTTTTAAAAAAGAGTTAAGTCTCTTTACTTGTGTCTTAATCTTTCAACTATAGGAAAATTCCTGTAATATTTGATGATGCAACTGGACTCAAGGTATCAGTTCAGTTCCTCGTACATAGCACAAAATTATTATTATTATTATTATTTTTACTGAGATTTTCTTGTGATATTATGGTTGTTCATTGATATAGTATTAGAACAACATGTTATATTTTTGCTTCGTTACGCTTTTCAATCTTCTCTCTCTGCCACTCTTGTATTCTTTTGATCTAGAAATACTGCTTACAAGTAGCATTGTGGCTGGGTTGTTAACAATTTGAGCGAATTTAATATTGCAGTGATTGAGATTGGTTTATTAACATTTGTCTCGGGGCTCGATATATTATTTTTATCACAAATAAATTATTGAATAGTGAAAGGATGATATTATGCAAATTGAAGCTATAAAGGTAGAATTGTAAAGTGGTAGCATGATGACATCACTTTACTTTGAGGAAACTTTTTGTAGGTTTTATTTTAAGAATCTTGTGATTGAAAATGAGTTTTATTATTTTTTTGACGCAATTAACCAAAAAAAAAAAAAATAAAAAGTACAAATGTAATAAAAGAGATATCAAGACGAAAGTGCCAAAATATTATCGGGGCTTGTCAACCAGAATTGGCGTTATTATCTTGTTACGCTATTAAAAAAATAAATGGCGTTATTATCTTTTTCTGCACTATTAAATAAAGTAAAAAGTTATAATTTTATCCGTATAATTTACCTATAAATAATAACTTTTATTCTTAAAAACACGTTATGATATTCCTAATGTTTATTAGTTCTGTTACATTATTTTATCCTTCCATCTAAATTTTTTCATTTTTTAGTGAATGTCAATGCATAAGGTGTTAATCATACGAGAGAGAATATAAATTTTTCCCAAAAGATCTTTAAGAAGTATTGTTTAAGTATATTAGCAGTCACAGCTGCCTCCATCACCACTGTTCATGGTGGTTTCGCCATCCAAGCTTTATAGCCGGAACTGGTGAAGGGAAAATGGTTGCACGAGGGTGGGAAATCGACCGGTGCTTGCCCCTAACGCGCGTGAATCGCTGGAAATCAATGAAACTATCAAGGAAAACAGCTCTGATTCGCATCAACGGAGGCTCTTTCCGGATGAGAGGAGTCCGAAAACTTGATCAGCAACACGAGATGAGTCGACCGCCTACTTCCTTAGTCAGTTTGGTGGCCGGAATCGAGTAGAGAAGAGAGAGGCAGGATCGCTGGACGGAGAGGGAGAGAGAGAGAGCGAAAAATCTGTATTCTCTTTCTTTTTTTTGCTCTTTTCTTTTTCTTTCTTAATTTCTTTTCTTTCTCTTTTATTTTAATTTTCTTCCAAATTGAAGAGTGAAAATTGGGCCGAATTTGGAGTGGACAAAGCAGAGGTTTGGCTCAATGTCGAAGAAGGATCTGTGGACCATTGTAAGTTTATGATGATCGGAAAAGCAAGGGGACCGGGAGAAAGGCGATGGTTGTGGTAGATGTGACTAGCCAAAGAAGATTTCCGGCTACAGATTGGCAACGTTGGATCCATTTGTTGAGCTTCTTTCCTGCCAAAAAAAACAAAGAAAAATCCTCACTGGTTTTAGTGTATTGAGGGCCAATATTGTCTTTTTCTTTTTGTTTTTAACGGCTAAAGTGTTTGATTAGTCAAAACGTTAAAAATTACTTAAAAAGCCGTCGCCAAACACAACCTTAGAATTGTTAGCAAAATGAAATCACTATAATTATAATGATATTAAAGGACTAAAATGAAAAAAGCAATATTGTAATTAAAAAAACTATAAGGGGCTGAACGGGAAAATCATTGTGACAGGAACAGTGATTTACCCACCTTTAGTATATATAACAATTTTATGTTCAAATTTTATTTGACATGTAATTAAGCTTTATTCCGTAATGAATTTTATGAAAAGATTAAGAAAAATAGGATTTTTCTAGGGTCGTGATGTGAAGGGTTACATAATTTTCCCGCATTACAAAATAATAGATTTGGATGTGAATGTTTTATAATATATTCTAATAATTTCATTATTTTTTAATAAAATTTAATTATAAAATAATTTAATTATTTTTTAATAAAAATTGAATTATAAAAAAAAATACGATTGTCAATATTTTGTATTACTTAATAATTCATAAAAGAAAGTGATTTTTTTTAAAGGGTTGGATAAATAAGATCAATGAATAAAAAGGAAAATTTATATCCTTTATTTTTATCGAGCAATAAGCATTAAATAAAATCAGGATAATTATAAAATTAGGGGTCATTTGTTTGGGCTGAATTATGAATATTGAATATGAATTAACAGCCTATTGAACGCAGCTGAATTTTGAATAGAATTAAGATTGTTTGGCAAATAAGATAATCATTTGAGTTAGTGCATTTTTTCTTATTTGATGTAAATATGTAATAACAAAAATTGATGCATTATATTGTATATAAAATAAGGCTAAATAATTAATGGGTTGTGGCTCAGTTGGTAACTTAGGTTGGGTATGTGGGAAGAACTCTCGGATGACACCCTACTAAATGCATCCGTAAAAAGGGACGAAAAGTTTTAACTATAACTAAATCCTGAGCCGAATTAGGCGACCTCGGGTCATAAAGTTTGGATACTAATGATGCAGAATATGGATCAACTTCATTTATATTATACTGCAATTAATTTTTATTTAACAAAATAACTTCTTTTTTTGATACTAATAATTGAAGCACAAAGCTATATAAAAACAATAGAGAAAAAGGAAAAAAACATTGAAAAAATAATTTATAATTTTAATATTACATAAAGATGTTTTCATCTTTTGGTTAAATTTAAATAAACTGAGCATGATGGACGAAGCTAGAATTTATAAATTTTGAAATGCAAGTTAAGGGGACAAATTTGTAAAATCACATTATATTTTTTTCAATGTCGAAGGTTCGCAACACGTTGAGCATCTGACCGAATGCAGCAATTAAGTGTATAAATAATACCAATGCAATTAAGTGTTTTTTTGCTGACGAGGAATGCAAAAATTCTGACTATCATTTAATGGATCCCGTTCTTACACAGGTGGCAGCCGATGTGGATAGAGATAATACCACATCGGCCTCATACTTGGATCCCACATGGATTTACTATGGAAATCCCATAGTTGCCCTTCATTTAAGTCAAAACACTCTCTTAGCCTTCTTTCTGTCTCTTTCTCTCCGCTAACACCAACATTTTCACTAACCCAAATTGGCACCACCATCAAGATTATCGAATACCTCCAATTTTCAGATTTGAAAGTTCATTTTTCACATTTTTCATCTCAAAATTTTCAGTATAACACCACCATTTTCGCAGCTAAAATTTCCCAATTACATTTAAATAATTAATTATTAATAGGAAAAAAAATAATCACGTCCTTAAATTATAATTAAACTGACAAATCAGTCCCTCCATGTTCAATAAATGACTCATCCATTTCTAAATTTTCAGTCCGTCTAAATTTATGCTCTTTTAAACAAATGGTCTTTGGAGAGAACAAAAAGAAAATTATATTGGATACCCTTGATGACTTCTGTAATGAACATTTTCATGAAACAACATAAATGGGGATTAGGGTTCTAGGAAATCAAATCATACTCCATAACGGTACTCTGATTACGCTCCAATGATTTTTGGCTCTCAAATATTTCCTCAAGTGGCAAATTCTGCAGTAATTCATCCTTCTGCACCGAGATAACGATCAATTGCTCACCTCCATCTCGATGCTTCTAATAGCTTCATAATCATAGTCTTGTAGTTCACTTGTAGAAAACTTATTCCTAAAGTCTCTTCTGTGGTGATGGATTATGAGCATTTAAAAATTATTACACAAGAAAAGGCAACAGTATTCCAATCAACAGAAGCAAGAAATTAGGCATCTTTATATCATTTTGCAGAGCTATAAACTAATCTCCTTCTCGCCACTGTCCACCACTATCACTTCCTTAGTATCCATAACCATGGCTGTCACATTCAGACGAATTTCTTTGTTTTGTTTTTTTGAAAATGTAGACGAATTTCGATCATTCACTAAACACTATCAAAGATACTTTGATATTAATACTAAAAATTCAAAAACATCTAAGAATATGCAGTAAAATTAAATCACCCACTAAATATCACCAGTGAAACTTTCTATAAATTGTAAGAATTCAAAAACAACCATTTAGGAGCAGAAAAACAATCGCCCATTTGATTTCTCAAACGAAAAAAATAGAAAAAGAAAATTCAAATTTTATAGTTATTAGAATAAGAGCTTTTAATAGAAATATTTAGGGATTGTATGTGGTGGGTGAGATACGGGTTGCGGTTAAGAGAAGATAAAGGGATAGAGATAGATTAAGAGCAAGACATAATATTTTTTATTTTGTTGTCGGATTTACTGGTTTTCAAAATATTCTATGAGATATATATCATTCCTAGTATGCCTGAACACTTATGTTTTATACTCCTATATATTGGCGAAGTATTTACAAAGGGCGTGGTTTAAACCGGTAGTAAATTGGTCAAAAATTGAAAATTAACCTACAAGTTAAAGTGACCTTTATCATTCTTTTAAAAATAACTTTTTTCCTCGGCCGAATTTCCTCAACTTAATACCAATGGAAACTAGACAGTGAGAACTTCCCATCAATCCCTTACGGGCCTAAATCAGAGGTCAAATGGAATTCGAACTAGGCACAAAATCATTGTAAATTGGTGTAGACTAAAAAGACTCTGAATTTTTCTCCACTATTTTGATCATAACTAGAGCTATAGAAAGAATTTTAAAGTGATTTAAATTGGGTTAGAGATTAGACATCTATATCTTATCAACGTATCTTACGGGTCTAAATTAGAGATTGAATGAGCCTAGAACCAACCAAATATATTTGAACCAGTTGAACCTGCACATAATACATTATGACTGCCTAACCTAAGGTAGTGGACCACCTGACATTCATCTATCGATCGCCCTACCCTGGAGGTCGACTGCCAGCCACGATCAGTCAGGGCCAATCAATCGCCTTTGAAAATTGCTTTTCATGATCCCACGTCAAAAAAAGTGAATTTCATCCCCAGTTCGTTTCCCTATAAATACAGGTCTAGTTTTCAACCAAAAACAATCTCTCTTTTGCTCTTTGCAAAGTACATTCTAAAAATCTTGGTTGAAACATTTCTTTTACTTTCTACCTTTCTTCTCATCTTCTCTGCTCTTCTTGAGTGTTCTAAGTAGGTGGGACGATATTTCTCCGGCTCACTTTCCACCTAATCTTTTTCTTTAGCCTTAATTCTAGGTCTCCATACCTTTAGTCTGAAGCCTCCTTGGCTCACCAGGCCCATACTAAAAGCCCTCCACAGGTCTAGATCCTCCTAGATACGCTAGACCTCACTTGGCTTAGGCTTCAATTGTAGAAATATAAGTCAAGCCGAAGCTCTGAGCCAGTCAGCCTTCTAACTCACCCTCAGGTTAGCCAGCTAGCCAACCTTTCGGCTCACCTTTCTATCAACCATCCAGCCAGCCTTTCGGCTCACCCTTCGTTAACGTCGTTGGTCTCTCCAAATGCCTAGGTAAGTCTACTATGGCTCTAATATTTTAAATATTGCTCTCCTCATCTAAATGGCTCCAATGAGCCTTTCTTTTCTAAAATCCATTTTTAAATCCAGCGATCCATACAATTTCAATCCGATGATCCAAAGCCAATAAATCTATTTTTAAATCTAAAATCCACCGCTAAGATATTTTTCATAAAATAGCAATCAAACGCCTTGAAAGATAACAAGGTCTTTAATGAACTCGTTTTCCAAATTAAAATTAACCAACTCCCATTTTACAATGGGTAGAACTGCTTAGTCTTGATTCCTATTACAAGGGACTATTACAAGGGATAAGCAGGTAGACTCGAGTCTCTAAAATCAAATTATGGACGGATCCCCCAAAATCTTTGTTTTTCTCCTTCTATTTTTTATTCCTTGGCTTGGGATATGTGTGATTGCCTTAAAATCCCCATGAAGAGGCGAGAGGGAATACTCCATCTATTTTTGTTTTATTTTATTTGCTTTAATTTATTGATATTTATTGCTTTATTTAATTTATTGCACCATGTTTACAGCTTTCTATAAATGTCATGCTTTTATCTTGAATCTTTTTCATTTAGATTGAAATTAATTTAAGGCCAATTAATTGATCATTTAAACCGAAAAACTAGTCTTTGAATCCTCTTCAATTTCGATGATTAGTAACATTTTCATAATTGGAGTCATTTAAAAATTTTTCTTAAATTTGTCTTCAAAATGAAATTTAAATGGCGATTCTATAAAATCATTCCTTGAACATTATCTAAACGAGTGTTTCAATTCTATTTTTAACGGATCGGACTTAGCGCTCAGATTGGGGTCTCACAGCAGCATGAAATCAAATGTTTTGAAAATGAGAGCACCTGTAGATATGGATAATGATGTAGAAAGATATTGAGTTAGAAAGTGTACAAGGAGATGATGAAATTGGGGATGCAAGTGACCGGTAAAGAGATTTGATTGAAGTAGCTGTGGTAGGCGGGTAAGTGGCAGTGGAAGTAGGGATGGAAGGCGGCTGTGGTTCATTTATTACATTTAAGGAAGGGCATAAAGGAAATTTCATTAATAAATTCACATAAGAGGCACATATTTCGGATGATTTGATCTCATGCTCCATGTCAGGTGCTAACGGTGTAAATGTGGGGCCATTTGACACAGACAGCTTCCGATGGTTCAAATAAATAAAAGACACCTAATTGATTTTTTCAGACATTTCGAGCTTTCAATTGATACAATGTTCCGTTTAAACATCAAAATAAAATTTTTTGAAAAGTTTAGACATTAAAAATAATATTTTACCAATAAAACCATCAAATTGGATCTAAAATTCATTCAAATCTTAAAAATTAAAAAAGACGCTAGAAATTATGAAAAAAAATTCAAAGTTAAAATCAGTGTTTTAGAAATATGACCAATCAATTAACCGATGAAGGTAGGGATTCACTAAATCAGAAGGTTCAACCGAATTTTTATATATAATATTTTTAAATATATTTATTAAATGGAATTAAAAATATAGGTTAAGAAAAACTTTGATATCAAATAAAAAACAATCTCAAAATTAACTTTTATAAAAAATTAAAAATATTAGCAAATAATTTTTTAAAAAAATAAAGATGACTAAATTTAATACTAAATAAATTAATTAATTAATTATCATAAAATATAATATTATTTTTCACATTTGACTATAAAATTGGACAATTTAGTTGTTTTGATTAACAAATTAAGACTTTGCACTTAGAAATAAGAAGATCCAAAATTTAAAAAATGAGTGACTCAACTTTTTAAAAGCCTAGATTTTGAGAAAAACCTAGAATTTGAATTGAACCACACTAATTATTGGTTCGGTTCACCGGTTTGAATTTTAGGTCTTCAAAACAGTGAGTTTTAATGATTTAGGGGGTTTGGATTAAGTTAACCCAAGCTGGTCAGGTGAGACTCACTTTATCACTTTTATATTGTAAAACCCTAGCCAATTTTGCAACTAGGGTGACAATATATCTAAATTATTGAGTTAGGATGCCCGAGGGATGAAGGTGGATTTAGAGTGATACTGCAACAGGTCGCAAAGGTGGGGATAATTTTATAGCTTAGGCCAAGAAAAACTATATCTTTCAAATTTTCGTATACAATAACTAACCAACAACAAACCTCATTTTCAATTTTGTATTTCTCTTTTTTTGGGGCGTAATGCATAAATTTGCCTCTAAAATTTACACGATTTGTCATGTGGCACCCTTAAATTTGCAGAGAACTTATTATGACCCTAAACTTTCACATTTCAGTATTAATTATGCCCTTTGCCAGAATAAAATAAACTTGCAAGAGTTCAATCATAACTTTGCGCTTTTACATTTTATTTTGTTGATGAACATAATTATTACTAAAATCAGGCATGGCAATGGTTCAATTTGAATCAGAACCAAACCGAAATCGAACCGTACAGTAAATGAATCAAAACCTGACCGAAATCAGCAGTTCAAAATTTTGAATTAGAACCGGCGGTTCAAGGGCTGGTTAAGATTCATATGAATATTAAGATTTGAACTTGAATCGGCCTAGAACCAGCGGTTCCGATTTGATTCGAATATAAAATTTTGGCAATTCTATGCTAATATTGCTGAGGATTCCGAAGTAAAAGATCAAACAAAGAAAATCTTCCCTTAGGCAATTCTATTGGTTTCTCTAATTAATTTTGAGCATAATGAATCAATGATTCCTTTTCATATATCAAATTTGTCTATCATCACATTTTTAATATATATAATCCATTAATTTTTCATGCTAATATTGCATTTTCAAATATATAAATCAGCACATTTAAAGATTAATTAAAGAAAAGTTATGTCAATTATTTTTGCCAATACAGAATGTCATTCAGTTAAAGATTACCATGATATCCTGCTGAAGATCAACAGAAAAATTAATTTTAAACATCAAGCAAAATTAAATGAAATGAAAAGAGGAAAGGTTAGTACCTTCCTTAATGCCATTTTGTTTCTCTTTGAATGAGAAAAGCATGCAACTTTTGAGGCACCTGAATTCACGTGTCATAATACTTTTAAATCTGTTTTACCGTTAGTAATTCTGATGTCCGTTTGCTTTAGTTAAATAGCGGTTCAATTTAACAAAAATAAAAATGTCAATAAATTAAAATTAAAAGGTTTAATAGGTAAACTCAATAAATTGTATCCAAGCAAAATCCCCTTTCGCCGTTACCATAAACTGTATCCAAGACTGTGTCTTTCGCTTTGTTGCAGCGATGGAGAAACCATGATTTCAATAAGGAGCTGGAGATGCCTTTCTGATTTTCAGCTTCATCGGCTAATGGGTATTCTTGATTCCGTTTCTTATAGTACTTCTACCAGCAGTAAACATACGAGAGGTAAAAGCAATTCTGATTCATTCCATAACGCTGATGATGCTTTGTCTTCTTTTGATTTGATGCTTAGTTGTAATCCCTCATCTCCTATTATTGAATTCAATAAAATATTATCTGCACTTGTTCGAATGAAACATTTTGCTGCTGTCATTTCTCTGTCCAAACAGATGGAATTGTTTGGGATTTCGTTCAATGTTTGCTCCATTAATATTTTGATTAATTGCTTCTGCCGCCTAGACCGTGTGGATTTTGGGTACTCTCTTATGGGGAAACTCTTCAAACTTGGTTTTAAGCCTAACATTATAACGCTTACTACCTTAATCCACGGGCTTTGTAGAGAGGATAAATTTGTTGAAGCTGTGGATTTGTTTGATGATATTGTTGAAAAAGGGTATAAAAAGGGTATCAACCCGATGTTATACTATAATTGTTGAATCTATAATGTGATTGTGAATGGTCTGTGTAAAATTGGGAAAACCAATGTGGCCTTTTGGTGTTCTGAAAAGAATGGTCGAGGAAGGTTGCCTGCCTAATGTGGTGTCATACAGTGCTATTATTGACAGTCTCGGCAAGGACACATTGGTTGCTGAGGCATTAGACCTCTTCTTGAAAATAAAGAGCGAAGGTATCTTACCTAATGTTGTGACCTACAACACCTTAATCCGTGGTCTGTGCATGTCAATCAGGTGGAAGGAAGCTTTTATGCTGCTTAACCAAATGTTGAGAGCAAACATCGCACCAGATTTAATTACCTTCAATACTTTGGTTGATGGACTTTGTAAGGAAGGAAAGGTTTCAAGGGCTCATGGCATAGTCATATTGATGATGCAGAGAGGACTAGAGCCTAATGTTATCATCTACAGTTCATTAATGGACGGATATTGTGTACACAACCAAATGGATCAAGCTAGAGAAATTTTTAACCTGATGGTAAGCAAGGGCTGTACACCAACTGTTGTTACCTACAGCATCTTGATTCATTGTTATTGTAAGAGAAAAAGGATAGATGAGGCAATGCGGCTTCTTGATGAAATGCCTTGCAAAGGCTTGATGCCTAACGATTACACTTATAAAAAAAGGATAGATGAGGCAATGCGGCTTCTTGATGAAATGCCTTGCAAAGGCTTGATGCCTAACGATTACACTTATAATTCTCTTATACATGGCTTGTGTAAAGCAAAGAGCCCTTGGGCTGCGCATAAGTTTTTCAAGAACTTGTGTTCTAGTGGCCATTCTCCAGATAATGTAACCTACTCAATTCTAATAGACGGCTTTCATAAGCATATGTGTCTTGATATGGCGTTGGATCTATTTCATGAAATGCAAAAGAACTTGTTGAAGCCTCACCTTATTATTTATAATACCCTAATTGATGGTATGTTCAAGGCTGGTAAGGTTAAAGATGCAAAGGAACTGTTTTCTGTTGTATCCTGATGTTTACACATACAATTTAATGGTCAATGGACTTAGTAAAGAAGGATTACTTGATGAAGCATTGAAGGTTTTCAGGAAAATGGAAGGGAATGGTTGCTCACCAAATGGTTGCACTTATAACGTGATTATCCAAGGATATCTCTGACACAAAGATGTGTCCATGGCAAAACAACTTATTGATGAAATGGTTGGCAAGGGGTTTTCTGCAGATGCCACTACTATGGAGTTGGTAGTAAACGATGACCTGCTTGTGAAAAAGCTACTGAGCTGCTCTAAAAGTACTGAGCTGCTCTAAAAGTTCTCAAGGTGAAAGTTGTAGTGAGATTTTAAGGTAGAAGCATTGTTATGCAGTCACAGGAGGTATTGTGCTGTTTTGAGTTTAATTCAGTATCTTGTGGTTCTATATATTTGTTCTGCAGCTGGCCTTGGCTATAATTTGGAATATTAATTGTTTTTATTCGCTTTCTTTCTCTTGAATTTGCTGTGTACCCATTGAATTTGCTTTCTTTCTTTCCCTGTCATATTTACGTGGCCTTGACGTGATAAATCTGTAAATTTTCTTCCAAATAGAGTTGTATTTCGATCTTGTGTTGTGTACAACTGATACTCAGTTCGTTAGGCTTTGTACTGAAACTAGTTGTGGTCAGTTAATGTGATTCTTTCAAGCTTTATATTTGCCTATTATATTTCAAACTAGTTTTGTTACAAAAAGAGACCTATTATATTTTTGATTGTTTTCTCTTGAATTTGCTATAAAGAGAAAAAAAAGGTAGCATTGACCACCAGTGAGAATACTCAATTACATGAATTTAAAAAAAAAAAAAAAAAAAAAAAAAATACAGAAGAGAAGAAAAAAAAAAAAAAAAAAAATACAGAGAGAGAAGATGATAGAGGGGTGAGGAGGCTATGGGAAAGAGAGAAAAGAAAGAATCAGGCATGAATTACAAAATGAGGTTTGAATGTTGAAGGAAGTGTTACTGTGAATGTTGAAGCAGATGGTTTTGTGGTGATGAAAGAGGTGGGGACGAGGGTTGAGAGATTTGGATATTCTTAACGGCAAAATGAAAAATTCATTTTTATATCCATAATTGACTGAGTTGTATTTTCTTTTTCCACATCATATACCACGTGTCATGTTTCCGGCGATTTTTTATCGGAAATTCGCCTAAGTTACTTTCATGTTACAAACACTAATCAGTTTTGAGATACAGGGCCTTAAAATGATTATCTCTAAGCTTAGGGATCTTAGGTGAAAATAAGCCCTTGTTTCATAACCCATGATTATCGAGACGCTATAATTTTTTATATTAATTTAATATTAAAATTGTATTCATTATTATATTCAATCAGATATAAAATGTAAGATTAAATTAATATTTATAATTCAAATATAAATATATACGCTACAAAAATGTGTACAAAATTACTTTTCAAACACGAACAAATTTAAATGCATAAAATTTTTGACTTTGATTGTTACAAATCTTAAGTTATCCCCTTTGTAATTGATTTGATGTAGAAAGCAGTGTAATGAAATAAATTAAAAAAAAAAAAAGTTGATCAAGGACGTGATATAAAGAAATTGTACTGATAACATATTACCAAATAATTAACAATAGAGAAAATATGCAGATAAAGAGAATATAATTATTCATTTTAAAAATACATTTACATAAAGTTGAAGAACCTCTATTTCTAGGTCACAAGATATATATTTGAAAAATCGCAATATTAAATAAAATAATAAATGGGATAATAAATAAATTCATATATAAACTAAAGTGAGTTTATATAGAAACTAAATGGATATGTTCATAATTATAATATTGTAATAACTATTTTTTTTTATAACTTGTATTACAAGTTGCTATTGCTTGTTTAATACTCGTTATTTACACTTGCTTATTTTTTCATACTATTAAGTATTTGTTATAATTTTCCCATTGCATATATCTTTTTGATGTTAAAGCAAGATTTCATTTTGAGATTTAAATAAAAACAATAGCTAATTTATATTACATTTTACCACTTGTATTTTGTTACATATCTCACAAAGTGATATACCCAATTGAAAAGAAAACGATGTATTTGCTTCTGCTTTTAAAATAACACTTTGAATATTTGTATTACATGTTATTTGTACTTATATATACTCGTAATTTATTTTTCAAATATAATTTATTTATTATATAATTTTAAATTTAATTGCATATTTACACTTTATTTTATTTAGTTATTTAAGCATAAAACATCTTTTTTGATTTACCATAAAAAAATATAAAAATATTTCAGTTACATTAGCATTAAATAGTGCAACACAAATAACAATTTAGCAAGTAACGCATATACAACATTTAGCATTGTATACATAAATGAAGAATGCAGGTTATCTAACACTACTCAGATTTATTTTATTGATAGAGGCTTTTCTTTTTTTTTTTCCAGGCTTCTTCTTGACACATAAATGACTTCTCGGAATCTATAAAATATCTAAAGAAATAACTTTAATATGAATTCATATCCAATTATTATCTAACATACTTCTCTAAATTACTTTACATTCATTCCATTTAAATAAACCTTTTTTTTTTTTTTTTGGGTTTTTCCTTCAATTGCTTTGTAGATTGCCATTAGCTCACTTAATGAGTCTCGTTTCTACTGTTTATTATGATTATGAAATTACATTTTTATATTATTCATCATTTTTCCAATTTTTATTTGAAACACTAACTAGATTTTCCATTATTCTAAATTTAAATCCAAAAATTGATACAGGAAATTAGCTAATATACAAAAGAGAGGTTATTTAGTACCTACCTAATACAAGAAATGGCCGGATTTCATGGAGTCTCTCTGCAAATCCTCCGTAGCCAAGACCTTCAGTTTGATACAAAGTTTGCAAAATTTGGTGGAGAAATGGTGAAATTGAGTTCAAAATGAGAGAAGGGGCTGTTCTTGCGTCGACCAGCTATAGGGATGAAGAGATATTATTTTCTCTCGACTGACTTTCTTCGTCAAATAAATGGTTCCGTATAATTCAGGTCGGTTTGATCCAATTACAATTTCTTTTTCGGTTTTTTTTTTATTATTCTTATTGGGCTATTTTTTTAAAAAAAAAATATGAATTATGTTCATTTTTCAATTTTAGAAAATTATTATAATTTTGGCAATTGATTATATGATTTTTTTTAGTCAAATCTGTAATTTGCAATTGCAAATAAAAGAAAAACCAAGTTTATTTATTATTTTTTAAAAATTAAAATCATAAAGTGAATATTAAATAATAAATGATATTTTTACCATATAATTATTGTTAGAAAATTAAATTGATCACTTTCGAGTATGATGGTATGATGAATAAAATTATTTTTTCAAATATTTTATTTCACCAAATATGAATAAAATTATTTCACTTACAAGTTTCTTGTATTGATCATTTTCAAGTATAATGGTGATGAAGATATATAGATATAAAAATAGATAATCATTATAAATAAATGGACATAAAATAAAATTAAAAATATTCAAAATTTAAATATAAATTAGATAAATATTCAAAATTTAATATAAATTAGATTTAATTATTTAATAAAATAATAAGTTTAATTTTTAGACTAAAAAAGTTATCATTAAATGATCTAACAAAAAACAAAAAAGTTGTAAATTTTTAAAATTGAATATAGAATAGATATTATTGTTAATGAATATTAATTTTAAAATTGAATATGATTATTAGATATAATTTTCTAATACTTAAATAATAAAAATAAAATTTGAAGGATAAGAATATCATTTTAAATATAAATGGTACCTAAATTTATTTTTAATTTATTAAATATATTTTTTTTAATTTATTAGATGATATCTTATGAGCTCTCTTTATTATTTTAAATATTTTTATTGAATTTAATATTTTTTTTCTTTTAAATCATTTATGTAAATAGTAATAACCTGCAACCTAGTAAGCAAAATAGTTAAAAGCAATCACAAAAATAATAATAATAATAATAATAATAAATAAATAAATAAATAAATAAATGAATAAATATTGACATTTCATTCATAAGCATAAAAACTAAATAAACAAAGAAAGAACCTACTATTAAACATACTCTATGTCATACTAATTATTGTACTTAATTGATGAAGAAGAGGCGTGATATATATCATTGAAGTTGCTAGTATTAAAATGAAAAAACAAAAATTTATAGAACATATTCAAAACTCAAAAAATTGAAAGCAAAATAATCCATAGAAACAACAAAGCAATATGAAGTATTGTGAAAAAATCATTGAAACTGTGAAGTATTTATATGAAATACCCCGAATTTTTATTTTCAAAACTTTTGAATTTTTATTAAATCAAAAATCTTGATTTTCAACTATTTGGGCTATAAACACCAAACAACACCAAAACCAATTCTAACTTGAGTCCAAAAATTTTTGGCATTGGCCCAAGCCCAAGCTATATTGTCGGAATTTTCGATTCGAGAACAAGTTTAAATCGGGTCAACCATTGTTGGGACCAAATCGGTTCGAATGAACCGGAATTGCCCAGAGAAGTTTTCTAGACCCGCCTCTCTTCTTTTTCTTTTCTTCTCCTACTCTTCTTTTGCGGGCGACCTCACTGCCTCTCCTCCTCTCGTTTTTTCGACCACCAGAACCAGCGCCTCCTCGCCGCGCATCCTTGCCACGTCGTCTCCTCACTGCAGTAGCTCCAGTCCTCCTTCCTCTATCCCATTTCGTTGCTGGCATACACAGTGGTCGCAGGAGATTTGCGAGTTGGTGATCGGAGAATCGCGTCACCTCTCTAGCTCGACTCTCCGGTGATCGATCGACTCTAGTTGCATCCTTCATCGATGCCGAGCACCGAACGTAGGAGGGATGCAGTGGTCAGCGTTGGAATCGATGGAGAAGACGACAGTGACACCAGACCACTGCCAAGCTCGGTTCGACTGATTGGAGTGCCGATCTCGCGAAACGGAGGTCAAAAATGGACTCTGGACGGAAAATGGAGCCAAATGGTGTGGAGAGCGTTCGGTTCTGAGCTGCCACGACTTTCCGGCCACTGTGCATGGCGGCTGGCGGCGGCGGAGGTCCGGTGACCGGCCGGCGACACTCCAACGAGGCCCCGTGAGACAGAATTCTCTTCTCTTCGCGCCGATCATGGAATCGTGGCCTGATTCTTAATTGGTACGTTCTAAGACCAATTTCCCCATTTTCAGTATAAATTAAATTCTAACTTAGTAATTATACTTAATTAAATTGATTTGAATGAATTAATTCATATATTAT